GACAACAACATTACAATTGCTTTCGTAGCACTTTTCCCGACTTCCGTATCACTAAGTTTTCCGATGCTTCACCACGAATATTTTGACAATATTAGAGAGTTTGAGCAAGAGAACGTAGTCGGACGACGACGACGTGGACCGTGGTTGACAATTTTTGCCTGTTTGCACATTTTCTTACGCATTCTGAGTTTAGGGTCAGGCGTGAAGACAGATTAGAGATTTATGTCTAGCTGTTTATGAATGCTGACCCAAATCCTCACCCTGATCAGGACAAAACAGCGAGACATGAATCCATATCTCGTCTAGTTGTCTTCGTTCTTCTGCTTTCGATCACAACAAAAAATTCGCAAAAAATTTTGCAAAATTCGCTGTGAACTTCGTTCCGAACGAAGGCAGAAGGACAAAGACGGGATATAGTTTCATGTCTCGCTGCTTTTTTCTTCTGGGTCAGGGCAAGAATTAGGGTCAGTATGCATAAACAGGGACACATAGGAAGAGACGTTGAGCAACCACCAGTCACGTCCAACACAGTATGCGCAAATAATGTGCAGACGGCAAAAATTGGCAAGTACGCCTTTGTCTTCGTACTTCGTTGTCTTGCTCAAACTCTCTATTGACAATTTTCCGACGGGTCTCAATTTTCTGACGGGTCTCCCACCCCCCTCCCCTCTGGCCATGGCGCAACTGCCGAGCCCGCATTAAAAATTCACTTGTAAAAAAAAACAGATTGGTTTAAACTTCATCTAACCCTCAATTAATACATATTGAAACTACAGTGTGTATCAAAATAATTCGAATCCAAATTTGGCGTGTAATAACGCAGAATATATTTGACAAATTCGGTTGATTTTTACACCATTGTTAAGTTCATTTATTTATCTTTCAAATGACATGCTGTACGCGTCATTTAGTTGGAAAATGAAGGAGTATTGCTTTGACAAAAAAAGTCCATAAAAATCACAATTTTCCGCCGATGGGAATTGGACATTTTTTCTTTCAAAGTTAGTCCCACAAGGCTTTGAAATGCTAATCATCACTGAAAATTAAAATGCAAATTTAACGCGAATTTCTTCTCGTTCAACATGTTGAAAGCATAGGAGCCAGCCTAGTCCCAGTCGTTCTGAAGCAAGCGCGAGAAAATGTGGATGTAGTACGAGACTGGGACCTAGGTGTGACGCCACCGCTCAAGGTGCTTCAGAACGCCTAGCAGATTTCAGTACTTTTAATATGGCGGAAAATTTATATATACATGTAACCTTTTAATTATAAATACGACAATGTTCGTTCATCATGTACATGTTCGATGTCTACATAACCAAATCAAACTGTATTAAAAATGTGCTCAACTAAAAAAAATTATATACAAATTTACGATACCGAGTTTGAGCAATCGTTGATGTTATTTATGTACTCGCAAGTTGTGATCAACACTACTGACTAGACCATACTGGTATACACAACTACGCTTTCTACTTGACAGGTTTAAATTGCTGAGGAGATTGGAAATATTTGCCTGACATGACGGTGTTGTCAAAACATTCTTAGTCGGAGACTCGGGATAATTTTCAAGCTTCTAGATAGCATTTAATATGGCTATATATTTTAGTAAACACGAGTCATATTTAGCCCGTTATTCCATTCTGACCGTATGGCAGCGAAACGTAGCCTACTTCATTGTTCCGACAGCATTAGAGCAAAACTAATGACCGGTAATTATAAATGCAAAGGAAATTTCCATAACATTTTCCATTTACAAATGAGGTATGCTTGGTAACCAGGCCAGGGACCACTTTTTTGAAATCAGGGACCATTTTACCGAAATCTGCTAGGCTCTCTCGCTGAAGCGTTCCGCACAGCACACCCAGGCATAAAACTTTTAAGACTTATTTAAATATATCGAAGCAGTGAATAGAGAGAGAGCCTGGGACTAGGCTGCGGTTTTGCATTGTTGAATGCTTCCTCGTTGTGGGATAGTTGGGAGATAAAGTTTTATGTCGAAAGCTCAAAACAAATTATTACAATCCGGAGAACACTGTATAATTTTGTAAAAATTATAATTTTATATATATATATATATATATATATATATATATATATATATATATATATATATATATATATATATATATATATATATATATATATATATATATATATATATATATATATATGATTTGAAGATGCGGTACGCATGTGCACAAGGAAGCCCACTTTTTATTTACAAACAGTTTATTTAGGTTTTTTATTTCATTTTATGTTCTTGCAAAGCTTGATTGTTGTCTCTTCTTAATTTATTATACTCTAGAATCATGAAAATATAAATAGTTGTCGAATAAAATTCAATATTTTGGATACCGAAATGTAAACAAAGCCTTTGTTTACATACGGACTGTACCGCATCTTTAAAACGTTCAAAATAAAATATTTGGGGGCTTTTGGGCTCAAAATACTATCAAAATGAAGAGAGAAGTGAGACGAATCTGGTATACGGCCGAAAAAGAGAAAACCAATGATACCAAAGTTATCAAGGATTAAACGTACTGCATTAATAATTTCGAGCGACTTGTCAACAATACAATTATTTCGCTTGGCTTTCAACTGACAAAGGCCATATTCGCTAGAATACTGTTGTTTAGTAATACTGTACATTTGACATCCGTAATTAGTACAATTTCTAACGCTGAATCGAACGGTGGTATTTTTATCCTCAATACGTACTGCGAGCGATTTATCAACAATACAATTTCGCTTGATTTTCAAAGGCAATAAATCGCTAGAATACTGGTGTTTAGTAATACACTTGACATCCGTAAGTACAATTTCTTACGCTGAATCGTAGGGAACGGTGTCGCTTTCTTCTCAAAATATAAAGCAGCGCAGCCAAACGTAACTTGCGATTTGCGAAAGTTGCTGTTTCCATGTCGAAATTCCTTGTAAAATTGTTCAATTTTCCCGAATTTTCCTCAAAATGCAGGGTTATTTATGGATAATGTGGGTAAAAATTGGCAGGAGCCGCAGGAGCTTTATGGATAATTTGGGTAAAAATTAGGTAGCTCATTAATATTCTATTTTGTGGCTATCGATCTTCGATCTTCGATCCACGATTCACTATCGGAGAAAAATGCGAGCCGAAACCTATACTCGTCCGGGGCACAGTTTCCCCAGCGAGTAATTATTTTGGGTTAACGATTAGTGATAATGCACTAATTCATAACATGAGAAGGGTGCAATACTAGTTATGTTCGATTATGAATTAATATAAATGAGTATGTTTATGACATTCGGTATATAGTTCGTAGTTTGCGGTCTTCAATTCGTCCTGACTGTGTAGCTCAGTTGGTAGAGCATCGATCTAGTAATACGAAGGTCGCGGGTTCGAAACCCATGCAGCCGCGGAATTAAGAAAAGTTTCCTGCTTGCGCGCTGTCTGGAAATTACGATATATCTCACTTGAGAACATGAAATTTTCCCTAGCTTATGTATATATATATATATATATATATATATATATATATATATATATATATGTTCAAAGAGCTACAAAATAAATTGTAGTTGTAACACAGGAATAATGTAATTTGAAACGCTCTCCGTGTTTAAACAATAACATATACATACCCTTTTCTAGATATATACAAACAAATTCCAAAACATGAAACAACAAAATCCATTATATAATCCTTCCCCTCGCCAGCTCTACAATGAAGTAGTCCAGGCCTTGGGTATATCGCGGGTTCGAGACCCAGCCGCGGCAGACAACATCTTTCTGCTTGCGCTGGGTATGGAAATTATATAATACACACTCTAGAACATTTTCATCATAATATATATATATATATATATATATATATATATATATATATATATATATATATATATATATATATATATATATATATATATATATATATATATATATATATATATATATATATATATATATATATATTTATATATATAGCTTAAGATTTTGGTTTACGAAACACAAACAGTGCTCAATACCATATAGATAGAGAGTAATATAGTTTTTCGTTTTACCTCAAAAAACCACAACAGTCTGTTTCATCCGTATAGGAATCATCAGGTGGTGAATAATTTCGAAATTGTAGGTTGCTTTTATGCTATCGAAAGAATGTGCGGAATGCGTGTAGGCGAAACAATGCTTAGGTGAAACAATGCATGCTTGGATATTAGGTTTTGCACCCGGTAATCGGTTGTGCACTCTTGTCTACGTTATTCATTTTATTTCTACTTCAAACATGCGACAATTTCGATTCGATTATTCACTAAAGAATATTCCTATACCATCACAGGATGCTTACCTAAAGAACTTGATTGAAAAAGTGGAGAGCGTAACAAAACGTATGAGATGGAAAGCTAATTTCTTCCTAAAAGGATCAATGACTCAAAACCAAAGCAACCTTTTCGGCCTTTCGTCTAACAAATCGCCTCCCTCAATTCCACTTTTGAAACCTTTCGAAGACGACTTGATAAAACTAATTGAAAACGTAAAATTCCGGCGTCCTAAAGACCAATTTCAGACATCTTTGGCTAAAGATTTGAAGAAAATTAATTCATCCCCCAATATTTTCATTTTCGCGGACAAAACTAGAAACATTTACGAAACGTCACTGAACACATACAACGAACTCTTACGTGATAACATCACGAAAACGTACAAACATGGATCAGAGGACTTCATACATGAAATGGACTCCGAATTGAAAGAAATTTCGAATAAGTTAGGAATTGGCGACAAAATTGAACGAATGAAAAAACGCGAAGCATTTATATCTTTAAAAGATCACAAAGAAAATTTCGAAAACAATCCAAAATGCCGACTAATTAATCCCGCAAAAAGCGAATCCGGAAAACTAAGTAAGGTTATTTTAGATAAAATTAATTCCAATTTGAGACAAAAACTAAATTCAAATCAACGGAGAAATACGCAACAAGTAATTTCATGGTTTGGCAATATAAACGATAAAGACAGGCACAGTTTTATTTCATTTGATATTGTGGATTTTTACCCATCTATTTCCGAAAAACTTTTAAATGAAGCATTGGCCTGGGCTTCGGATTTGACTACTATTACCGAAAACGATATTTCAATAATAAAACATGCAAGAAAATCTCTACTTTTCGGCAACGGCAAATTATGGACAAAAAAAGACGGAAGCAACAGTTTATTTGACGTCACTATGGGTAGTTTCGACGGCGCTAAAATTTGTGAGCTGGTAGGCCTTTTCATTTTAAATCACTTAGGTAAGAGGTTTGGCAAGGAAAACATCGGACTTTATAGAGATGATGGTTTGGCTATTATAAAAAGCAAATCCGCCCGTTTACTAGACAAAACTAGAAAAGAGCTACACAAAATTTTCGAGCAATTTGACCTTAAAATCACCGCCGAAGTAAATATGAACGTTGTAAATTTTTAGATGTTACTTTCGACCTGATCAACGCAAAACACAAACCATACAGGAAACCCAATGACGATCCATTGTACATCCACAGACACTCAAACCATCCACCAAGCATTACAAGACAATTACCTACAGCTATCAACAAACGCATTGCACTTCTCTCATCGGACGAACAAACATTTAAAGAATCCACACCTATTTACCAGAACGCTCTTACACATAGTAACTTTGATCATGAATTTACGTACACTCAGGATGCACCGCAACGGACACGTAGGAATAGGCAACGCAACATAATTTGGTTCAACCCACCATTTAGTAAGAGTGTTAACACGAACATAGGACGGGAATTCTTAAGTTTAATTGACAAACACTTCCCACTACAACACAAACTACACAAGATTTTTAACAGAAACACTTTAAAAGTAAGCTACAGTTGCATGAACAACGTTAAGTCTATAATCACCAAACACAACGCACATATAATTAGGAACAGTCAATCACAGAATACGGAAACTGACAACCGTAACTGCGACAACAAAAACACTTGCCCACTACCGAAACAATGCATGACCAACAACATTATTTACAAAGCAACAGTCACAACGAACAACACGAACGACACTAAACACTACATTGGTATGACAGCGACTACATTTAAGGAACGTTACGCTAACCACACTTCATCTTTTCGTCATAAAAAAGACTCAAACAAAACGGAACTTTCGAAATATATTTGGAAATTAAAAGAAAACAATCAGGATTATACCATCAAATGGTCAATTTTAAAACACGCTATTTTGTACACAGGGGGATCAAAACGCTGCAATTTATGTTTGGAAGAAAAATTTAGCATTTTGAAAGACATAAACAAAGACAATTTACTCAATAAAAGAAGCGAAATTTTCGGCAAATGTCGTCACAAAAACCGGTTTCGAGTAAACAAGGTCGTTAACAAAACCTAATGACCCAAGCATGCATTGTTTCACCTAAGCATTGTTTCGCCTACACGCATTCCGAACATTCTTTCGATAGCATAAAAGCAACCTACAATTTCGAAATTATTCACCACCTGATGATTCCCATACGGATGAAACAGACTGTTGTGGTTTTTTGAGGTAAAACGAAAAACTATATGTATATATATATATATATATATATATATATATATATATATATATATATATATATATATATATATATATATATATATATATATATATATACATATTAAGATGAAAATATTCAAGAGTGTGTATTATATAATTTCCATACCCAGCGCAAGCCGAAAGATGTTGTCTGCCGCGGCTGGGTCATGAACCCGCGACCTTCGAATTACTAGATCGACGCTCTACCAACTGAGCTACACGGTCAGACGGATTTAAGACTGGAAATTATGAAATATATACTGAATGTCATAAACATACTCGTTTATATTAATTCAGCATCGAACAATACTAGTTCTGCAAGTGTTATGTTAAGATGTGTAATTGTACACTCCGTAATATATTAAGATGAAAATGTTCTGGAGTGTGTAATATATAATTTCCATACCCAGCGCAAGCAGAAAGATGTTTTCTTCCGCGGCTGGGTCTTGAACCCGCGACCTTCGAATTACTAGATCGACGCTCTACCAACTGAGCTATACGGTCAGACGGATTTAAGACTGGAAATTATGAAATATATACTGAATGTCATAAACATACTAGTTTATATTAATTCAGCATAGAACAATACTAGTTCTGCAAGTGTTATGTTAAGTTGTGTAATTGTACACTCCGTAATATATTAATTATATAAGATGAAAATGTTCTAAAGTGTGTAATATATAATTTCCATACCCAGCGCAAGCAGAAAGATGTTGTCTGCCGCGGATGTTGTCTTTCAATAGTTTTCGTTTTTTTGGGACACCCTGTATATATATATATATATATATATATATATATATATATATATATATATATATATATATATATATATATATATATATATATATATATATAACCTCACGAGTATCTAAACAAAACTACCATCTTTGGTGCTTCGTTAAACCATGGATTGTAAAATAACTGGATAGGAAACTCCCTGACGTCACAGTCTAAACCTAGTTTCAATCTGTGACGTCACACGTATTGCCAAAGTTCTCAGCATTTTTGTTGTTTCGCTATATTTTCCGCTTTAAAAGAGTAATATTGAAGCATAAACTGGTCTAATTGTTTTAAAAACATGCCTAAGCCACGACAAAGTATTCAAGGTAAATGTTTTTCGTCTTTGTTTTGTATTTTTTTACATTTGCAGCTACGAAATTGGCGTCGCCAATTTTAACGAAATTTGCGATGCATTTTTCACCGTTTAGTGCTTGAAATATTTGCTAAAATTGACTGGGAATACTTAGAGATTTCATCGTAGAATGGCGTAGTTATATTTATTTGCTCTTTGACTAAAATGTTCTCACCAACTTGAGAACGTAGTCTGATTTGCTGGTTCTTGCCTAGTTTAACTCAAAATCTCTATTTTTATGACAAATTTATTGAATTTTTAACCGCCAACTCGGTTAGAATATAAAAGTATAAAATCTATTTTTCCCATGTGTCCGAGCCCGCGATATATGGCGGGAAACTATAACTACTTCATCTTATCTATAGTAATCTGTTCGTAACATCCCCCTCCCGAATGTGTAACATTTGAGATAGTCTAACATTCGTAAAACTTTAACAAAACTAGGAGTAACTAACTCCGCTAATATGAAATTATGTTGTCAGTTTAGTTTCATAACTGTCCGTTTCTTTCGCAGGTAATTCTGTACAATCTCCTCCATATCTCGGGTTTATTACTAAACGTACTCAAGAGGGCATAATCTATGAACCGGTCGCAAATACTCCTTTCCTTTAGCTTTAACTCTGACCACTCGCACCAAGCCGTCGTTCCCAGGAAAAGTCTCAGTAGTACGTCCCAATGGCCAGTCACAGCGATTTGCATTTGGCTCAATCATTAAAACAATATCTCCTTCCTTCATATTACGTGTGGGATGAAACCACTTCTTTCTACGATTTAAAGTCGGGAGCAATTCCCTTCTCCAACGTTTCCAAACTTGACCGATTAGTTGTTGAACACGATGCCATCTTTTGCGGGGGTTGAACGTTTCTTCCTCAATTGCCTCCACCGCAAATGTTCCTCCAAGCTGTCCGTGGATGAAATGATTGGGAGTGAGAGGACATAAGTCGTTGGAATCCGAACTTACGTACGTGATAGGCCTCGAGTTCAATAACTTCTCCGCCCCACAAATGGCTGTATGTAGCTCTTCATCGGAGACGTCCGCATTTCCTAAGATACCCTTTATAGCTTTCTTGGCACTTTTTATCATGGCTTCAAATACTCCACCGAAATGTGGGCTAGCTGGAGGGTTGAAATGCCATTCGATGTGAGAGAATCGCGAACTGTCCCGAACAATCTTCTCTTGGTCTAATTGTTCAACAAGTTCTCTCAGTTCTCGTTCTCCTGAAACGAAGTTGGTACCGTTATCTGATAAAACGTACGAAGGCGTCCCCCTCCGTGACACCATCCGGGCGAATGCATTCATAAACGAATCTGTGTCTAATGCATAGGCCATTTCCAAATGTACCGCGCGTGTCACGAGACAAGTAAATAAACAGAGATATCTTTTTGCTCTACTCTTGCCGCGACCTTGTTTTGTCAGGTATGGGCCTCCGTAGTCTACTCCTACTCGACAAAAGGCTTTCATCGATGAAATTACTCTTGGTCTCGGCAGCGGTGCCATCATTTGACCAATAGGTTTAGCAGTAAAGCGTTTCTTACACACTTGGCAATGATTAAGAATTTTACGTACTACAGCCCGTCCTCTTATCACCCAAAACCTACTACGTAATTCGGAAAGAGTGTGTTCTACTCCAGAACCATGTCCGAGTTGTTCATGAACCGCTCTTACTACAAGTTCCGTGATAGGGTGTTCTTTGGGTAAAATCACTGGGTGTTTACTTTCGTACGGTATGTCTGCATGGCGTAAGCGTCCGTCTATACGAAGAAGTCCATCCTCGTCTTTCATGGGATTCAAGTTCTCCAGACTTTTCCGTCCTTTAGTGTCTTGAAACCTTTCTGTTTGTGCACGTTTGAACCAATAAAATTCTGCTTTCTTTACTTCTCCAATCGATAAACTTTTGCTTAGATCTCTTTGCTCTGGTCGACATTTGCAGTTGCTCGTAAAACGCCGTACCCATGCTGTTACACGAACAAGTCGTCTGAAATCTGAAAAGTTCTGTGGATTCAATTCGTTACTGTCCAATGCTTGAGTGGCATTTGTTCGCACCATTTTACACTCTTCTTTCGTGTCACTTGATAATGTATCCATTCCAGGTACGCGTGCAGGCCAATTTGTCTCATTTTCTAAAACGAACTGTGGTCCTTCTTTCCATACTCTGCTCTATGCTAGCTCAGAAACCTTTATTCCTCGAGTTGCCAAATCAGCGGGGTTGAGTTCTCCCGGGACATGTCTCCACTGTTCTGGGTTTGTCGAATTTTGGATTTCCCCGATTCTGTTGGCGATGAAGGTTTTGAAATTGCGACTCTGGTTTCTCACCCAATATAGAACGTTCGTAGAATCTGTCCAGTAAATCACTTTGGATACTACAATTGACTTGAGTATGGTATTTGCCAAACGAGTTGAAATAACCGCTCCCATCAACTCAAGTCTAGGAATAGTCATCGATTTAACTGGTGCAACTCGACTCTTCGATGCAATCAATACTGATGTTGGTGTGTTTCCTTCATAACGACAAACGAGATAAGCACAAGCTGCATAGGCATCCTTTGAAGCATCAGAGAACATATGTAATTCTATTTCATCAGGGGAGGGATGTCGCAAACATCGTGGAATCTCAAAGGAGGAAAGGTGTTGTAACTCGTTCACCCAGTTATGCCAACGGTCTAATAGGGTCCTCGGTAGTGGATCATCCCAATCTAGCCCAGCAGTCCATATGTCCTGCATAAGGATTTTGGCTCTTACTGTAAAAGGTGAAAGAAATTGAAGAGGATCAAACAGAGTTGAAATTGCGCTTAATACTTCTCTCTTCGTGGTTATCTCCTTGATCTCTGGTATTTCCACGTTGAATGTGAATACATCGTTTTCGGATTTCCATGTCACTCCGAGGGTCTTCACTTTTCCTGTTGGGCGTCCATCTTCGCGTATCTCTAATCCGGGTTGTCGATCTTCCTCTGGCACGTCTTCTAGTACTGACTTGTCATTCGATGACCACTTTCGAAGTCGGAAACTCGCCGAATTCAACAACTCTGAAAGTTGTCTCCTTAATTCTATGGCATCTTTGGAAGTCTCGCATGAATCTAGAACGTCGTCTACGTACATGGAGTTGCAAACCGTGTCTGCAGCTTCGGGATAATGTTCTGCTTTATCCTCCGCATGTTTCTGGACGATGAATTGTGCACAAAATGGTGACGCTGTGTTGCCAAACACTAGCCGTTGGAATTCGTACACATCAGGTTCTCGGGATGCGTCTAAATTACGCCAAAGAAATCGATGATAAGCCCGATCATCTTTCAACAAGCCTACTTGTAAGAACATCTCTGAAATATCTCCTGATAAGGCGATAGGGGAGCGTCTGAATCGTATCAGAACGTTCAATAAGTCCTTTTGAAGCTTAGGACCAGCTCGAATTGCGTCATTTAAACTTTTGCCACGATCTTTTGCTGCAGCATCAAATACAATTCGTGTCTTTGTAGTGGTTCTTTCTTCCTTGATTACAGCAAAATGTGGCAAAAACCATTGGTTTATTTCATTGGTCTTTTCTATCTTCTTCACATAACCCTTCTTCTCGTAATCTTCAATTATCTTGTTATATGTGTGCGTTGCTTCGGAGCCTTTTCTTTTGAGCGCTTTCTCCTGCCTCTTAAGTCTTATTAACGCCATATCATAGTTATTGTTCAAGTTTGGTTCTTCTTTCTTCCAAGGGATTCCCACAGAATATCTTCCCTTGTCATAAATTGTACTCTCTGTTACCTTGACTACTGCTTCTTTCTCATCAAAGGTTCTGTCGTCAGTGTCCTTGATTCCCAGAGCTTCAAGCTCCCAGAATTGTCGGAGCTGGTGGTCTTGTTGCTGAACGGTTGGCTGCTCAACCTGGCTTGAACGGTAAGTACGTGTAAAATATGAACGCGATTTACGCCGGTGTTCCTCAACGATGGTAGGCCCAAAGCAAACCCAACCTAAATTGGTAAGTCTTGCTATTGGGTCTGTAGTTTTACTACCGTGCACTTCCTTCAGAACATGGTGAAACAATGGGTGATCGCTGCCTATCAACACATCTATCTGCTTTCGTCTTGAAGTTTGCTCAAAGGAAATGGAAGCCAAATGGGGCCACTTTGCTTTCAAGTCTGCCCAGTTAAAAGCGGGTGTGTCTCCAGTTATATTGTCCAGGACATTAGCAGATAAATTCTCTGAAAAGTTTCTGTTTAAGCTTGTGACAACCAAGTTTACTTGTTTAGACTGTTTTTTAACTTGGGATCCACCAGTACCCGAGATTGTCAGTTCATGCGTTTCTCCGTTCAATTGTAATTCTTCGGCAGCAGCTTCAGTCACATATGAACTGGTGGAACAAGGGTCTAACATAACGTTAACCTTCAGTTCTTTCTTATCATTCTTGATAACAGCTGGTAACACCATTAGCGATATGTGGTCAGTGCGGTGAGTGACATAAGCTCTAGTATCAGCCGTATTTTCACCTGCTCCGGATTGTTGTGCACTGCCCTTATCATCTGATAATCTGCTCCTGGTTTGCTGGCTGGAGTCTTTCATCGCCTGTTGTGGGGTAACTGAATGAGAACCAGTTTGACAGTTCTGGTCTAGTCTACGTGGGGTATGAAGTAATCTATTGTGCTGGGTACTATCACAGTCATCGACGCCACACCGTCTTGCTCGAGTACATTCAATTGCTTTGTGTCCAACACCCAGGCATCGGTAACACCGTCTTGATTTCTCTATCAATGCTTTTCGATTTGATACTGATAATGCTTTAAAGGCATCACAGGTCCAGGGAGGATGGTTGTTCTTGCATGTATGCACAACGCACTTGAGATTGCCTTTAGACATTGTGTTGAAACCTCTTTCTCTTCTTACGCGGTTTATCCTTTGGTCACCATTTCTCTCTTTACTAGTTCCCAGGCCTTTTGTTTCTTCTTTAGCTTCTTCCATTATCTGTACTCTTAGCTCTACCCACTCAACAAGTGTCTCAAAAGTATCCTCTTTCGAGTGCTCTATCAACCATGACTTATAACATTGTACATCTTCTTCTGGTAATTTTTCTTTACTTATCAGATTCAAACTCTGACCGAAAAGATCTCCTTGTTTCTCACAGGTGTCCTTCAAAGTTATCAAAGTCCTGTCCAACACAGTCAAAAATTCTTCCAAGTCACTTAAATTTTTGGACTGTACCTTTTTCCAATTCTTCAATGCGGTCAATGTCTTAATTTGAAGTCTCCTCTGACCTCCATATTTCTTTTCTAATTTTTGTTTAGCTCTCTCATAAGCGTTAGAGGAAAATCCTAGATCTTTTACCAATTTAAGTGCTTTTCCTTTCAAACTGTTTTGCAGTCTCAACATTTTCTCGTTAACTGGTATGTCCGCATAGTCAACAGCAGATGTGAACGCAGCTTTCCACTGTTCGTATTCTACTTTGTCTTCCCCATCAAATGTTGGTAAGTCCACACCTTTTAATTTAATGGGCCCCACCCTGTGTGAAGTTGGGGTTTTTGAACTTGGTGCTGCTGGTGATGGTTGCCAGGTATAAGGGATACGTGATTGTTGTCTCGGAATATATCTACTCATGCTGTCAAGAACAGGTGGTGGTAACTGGGTATGTAGCTGGTATGTGTTAGGGTTATATCTATTCAGAACAGGTTTGGAGGTTTGTTGCCATGGAAACTGGGCAGGATGACCTTGAGAGGAAAAACCATCACTTAGGTCAGGATCTGGGATGGGTCGTTGCGGGGACTGGGATGAAGTAAATGCTGTGGCACTTGGATCTAGGATTTGTTGTGGTTGGAGGTGACCAGGGTGTGTCGCAGGTGGAGGGGTACTAGGGTATAGGGTTTGTTGTGGTTGGAGGTGACTAAGGTGTGTCTCAGGTGAAGGGGTACTAGGGTATAAGGTTTGTTGTGGTTGGAGGTGACTAAGGTGTGTCTCAGGTGGAGGGGTACTAGGGTATAGGGTTTGTTGTGGTTGGAGGTGACTAAGGTGTGTCTCAGGTGGAGGGGCACTAGGGTCTAGGGTTTGTTGCGGTGTAAACTGATTAGGGTCCATCTCATTCAGGGGGGTACTAGGATATAGGGTTTGTTGTGGTGTAAACTGATTAGGGTCCATCTCATTCAGGGGGGTACTAGGACCTGGTACCTGTTGTGGTAATTGACTGTGGGAACATGTTTCATCAGAGTCATGCGCTGGTTTGGGGGTGGTATTATGAGATCTAGCATCAATAATACAAACAATCTTACGTGCCTCATCTGTTCTTTGTTTTGCAAGTTCAAGTTCTACAGCTTTCCTTTGAAGCTCTTCTTCTTTTTGGTTTTCCTCTGTTTGTAATGTTAAGACTCTTTTGTTTGCTGCCTCTATCTCTGATTGTTGTATTTCATACTCGGAATGGGTTGAGCCTGATGGAGCTATTGATTCCAATTCGCCCCCTTCCAATCTTTCTTTTAAATGCGTTTCCGCAGCTTCTATAATGACATCCACCTGATTGCCTATTTCATCAATTTCTCTTTCTATTTTTTCTACCTCTGTTTCCGATTCTGGTATGCTCTCGAATATAAACATTTCTTTCAATTTGTTTAGTAATTTTTCTATTATAAGAAATTCCGATTTGATTTTACTAATATATCGTCTAATCGTGTTCTTACTTGCTTTTGTTGTTGATAGGAGCTCGTATAATTTGTTTCTTTCTCTTGTAAGCCTTGTCTTTGCATTTCTTTTCTCACGTTTCAGTCGTTCTATACTTTTCAAAGTCCCAGAAGTATCCGCCATCTTGGATTTTTACGATCTTGTGTTTCGTTTTAATTGCCAAATTTCCCGATTAAATCCGGCTGTCGAAGGTCCAAATGTTCTCACCAACTTGAGAACGTAGTTTGATTTGCTGGTTCTTGCCTAGTTTAACTCAAAATCTCTATTTTTATGACAAATTTATTGCATTTTTAACCGCCAACTCGGTTAGAATATAAAAGTATAAAATCTATTTTTCCCAACGTGTCCGAGCCCGCGATATATGGCGGGAAACTATAACTACTTCATCTTATCTATAGTAATCTGTTC